GGGGGGTGTAAAGAAGCGGGGGGGGGGGGGGGGGGGGCATGTATTTTCCAAGCTCTCACTTAGAGAAGGCTGTAGGAGTCATTGGCTCAGCAGAGTTACCTGAACAGAAGGACGCAGAGCTGCCCCCAGCAGTGCCCTTCCACCTTCCCCACATGAGGATGCCTTTGCTCAAATAATTTATAATATGAGCTTACCAGGTGGCCAGTGGGTATGTACATGTATCTGTGTGGCTGAGGCAAGTAAGCAGAGTATTGGAGATTACCCTGATACAGACAAGCACTGTAGGTCCTGACCTCAAGTCACTTTATATGTATTAGCTCATGCAACGCTTCTAGCCATGCTGGGAGGCAAATGTAACTATTGTCTCATCTTTCAGTTGAATAACTTGAAGCACAGAGGTATTAAATAACTTTCCAAGGTTTGATCCAAGGTAACTCACCTAGAATCTCAACAATCACATTAGTCAGCCATATTGGGTGTTCACTTTACCTTCTGATACTGAAGTGCTGGTAAGATGTTTAATCAAAAGTGCTTAAAATTTGTAAGTGAAGACCACTTAGGAGCACTATGAGATGACTGAATGGAGTTGAGACAGGCTAGATACAAAGCAAAAATAGGATGCAAGGAAATCAATTATTTTTAAAGGCCAGACATGGTAGCACAGCCTGGTAATCATATCAATCGGGAGGCAGAACAAGGAGGATCTCAAATTCAAGGTCAGCCTAGGCTACTACATAGTGAGGCCCTGTATCCAAAACCCTAAATAAATAAATAAAAACGAAAAGAAAGAATAGGATGCAACTGTACACCTCATAGCAGGAGACCAGAGATGGGAGAGCAGTCAGGCGGCCAAAGCACTGATGGCTGGTGAGCAACTGCACAGACAGAGTCAAAGGCTCTGCTGATCAGGATGAAGGAAACAATAGTGGTTGTTTCTAAGGGAAGGACTTGTTTCTGGGTAAGTTGAGCTTGATGTCCTAGGTACCATCCAATAAGAGGACCCAGTGAAGGGGTAAAACAGAGTCCCCAGGAGGTCTGGAAGGAATTAGAGATAGGGACCTGGGAAATCTTATACAGAAGCTGACATGGACCATTGAGGAAAGGATGGAAGTGCTGTCAAAGTGGCGGAGAGGACCCAGAGGAGGCCTCAATCTAATCCAAGGCAGATGAAGCAGGGAAAGAAACAGCACGGATTTGAAGGGTAGGTGATGTGGCGTTTCACAGGAGAAAATTCAGGCAAAGACAAAGTTCAAATGAGGTGATGAAGGGCTTCTTTGAGACACATGGCTACTTTCTAAGACTTAGAGCTGGGTTCTTCCCTTCTGTCCCCACCTAAAACTCCTATTCCACACTTCATCCCCAGTCCTCAGGAGCTAATTTCCAGACTCCAGTTGCTTCAGCCTTCCCACTCAAGACTTACTCCATTCTATGTCATTCATTCTGATAAAGACACCAAAACATATTCCCGGGGTTGCAGGGTCCTCCAGAAAAACTGTGTTTGCTACCTTTGCATTTTGATCCACAATTTTCTTCAGATTTTTCAGCAGATGATTATTGGGACCACCTTCTTTCTCATTAACATATACTATCCTGTCCAGGTCTGGAAAGTTCCGGTTCAGATCTATTCCCTGGGCATTGCTTCGACCCACAAACCAGTCCTTCAGCTCACCAGGCTAAGAAATAAAAAAGAAAAACCATCAGCTATCTATTATTACTGTCATTACCTATTTAAGATCTCCATCAATGCTTAGAAAAATCATTTACTATCTGTGATAATATCTTCCCATACCTGGTGTTCACTAGTTAATTATCGGTATACTCATGAAAGTATCAAGTTTAAAGTATTTGTTATGGGCGTTTTGAAAATATTTTTAATGAATAATATAATAATAAACATTATTATTATATAAGTGCTACTACCAGATTTCAAAAAAAGTCAGTACAAATTCACTGATCATAGATAACCTGCTTCAAAACACACCACTCTGTAATTATATTTAAGTAAAATATTCATCACCTTTGTAAATCACAGCAACCTGATTTTTAAAGTCAAAAGAATAATATTAAAAGCTTAAGGTGAATTCATTCTACTTCAAAATTCTAGAAGATTTTAGATATCTTCACCATAAAGAAATGACAGGTACAGGAGGACACAGATGTGATTATTCTGATTAAATGTTATATGACATATACATGTATCAAAACTTCACCTTTTACCCCATAAACATCCCCAACACTGTATAGGAAACACACATAAGTTCTATTTAAAAGCCATTTGTTTTTTCAACCTAACAGTTAAAACCTATAAAATTATTTTTACTGTTATACCTAAAGTACTTTTTTTCTTTCTTTTTCTTTTTTTTTAACTTTCCTGATCTTCATAGAGAAGCAAAGATTAAATATCAGTAAAACGCTGGTCTAGTTGAAAGTCATTCTTCCTTGAATTCAGTAGAGGGCGCTACAACACCAAGTCATCCAGCTTCAGTGTGCGGTAGGAGTTTCTCATACTTAAAGATCTTTAGGAGTAAATCTGCCTAGTCATAACCATGAACTAATAAGCGTTATTTATAGCAGTGCAACAAAAGGTTATTAAAATAGTATTGTACTTACAAAATTTCTCATTCCCAGCCTCTGCCGAAGAAGCTCATGCATTATATACTATAAATTTTTTTTCTCAAGAGCAACTTGAATAATGTCTCTCGCACTCTCTATGGTCTGCAGGCTTTGTGTGATGGCATTATGTGTAGATAAGTACATATGTACAAAAATACCCAAAAGACAATGCAGGCCAGATCCAACCTGCCCAGCACTCACCTGAGACGCTGCCTTCTCAAAGCCATCAGGGTTCAGCGAAGGCATGATATGAATTCGGGTGCTGTGGATCAAGTTGACGATGGTCTCATTCCCTTTCTGGTACTCATTGCACAGGTACTGGGCCAAGAAAATGAGCAGTTCTCGTCCAACCGCCTCATTACCATGCATGTTCCCAATGTACTTAAATTCAGGCTCACCTGAAAGACCAAAAATAGATGGTATAGAGAACAGTCTATAATGGCAAGGAGAAGGCAAATGGAGCGCAGTGCCTAAAACACACATTGTGTATCTTACATATAGTAAGTTACTATGAAAAAACAACTTCTCCCTCCAGAAAGGATGCCTAAGAAATCTTCCTGGGACAGGAAGGACAAGTGGACAGTAGAACACTCCAAACACCCTTCCCACCCTTCCATCCTTCCAGCCCTCTCTCCCTGCTGCTTTCAATTGCTATGACAAAACACTCTGACCAATACCAACTTTGGGGGGAGGGGGGTATTTGGCTTACATCTCCTGGGTCACAGTTCATCACTGAAAGAACCCAAGGCAGGAACTCAGGGCAGGAACCTGGAGGCAGGAGCTGAAGCACAAGCTATGGAGGAACACTGCTTACTGGCTTGCTCCCTTGGCCCACCCTGCTTTTTTATGCAACGCGGAGCAACCTGCCCAGGCACTACCCACAGTGGGCTGGGTCCTCGCACATCATTCCACAATCAAGAAAATGCCCCACAGGCATGGCCACAGGCTGGTCCAATAGAGGCAATTCCCCAACTGAGGCTTCCTCAGCCCAGGTATATCAAATTGACAGCTAAGGCTATCCAGTACGCCTACCTACTATAGAACTATGTCCACACAGAATTCTTATGTTGAAGGCCTAAGGCCCACTGTGACTGCATTTGGAAACAGGGCCATTAAAGAAGTAATTAAGGTTCAAAGAAGTCCTAAGAGTGGAAACTCTGTTAATACTTGTCATCACAGGAAGGTAAGACACCAGAAATCTCTCCTCGTCAGTGAGGAAAGTCCTGGGGACACAGCAAGATGGGTGTGCCCCTATGCCAGGAGCAGAGGTCTTGATCTTGGGCTTCTAGCCTCCAGAACTGTGAAAAAAATGAATTTCAGTTGTTTAAGCTATCCAATGTGTAGCATTTTGTTATGGCTGTCCAACCAGGCTATGCACCACCTCCAATAACTGATAAGACACTGTGTGTCCCTATAGATTAAATACTGCACTTTGTTTTCTATTTTAATCTTCACCAAACATCTAAAGGTAAGTATTGTTATCCATCTCCATTTTTCAGATGGACAAACTGATTTAAATCCTGGCCATCTGCTTTAGTTAAAAAGCCTATATTGTGCTATAAAAATTTAAAACTTTAAATTTTTAAAATTTAATTAAATTTAATTAAAAAATTAAAAAGGAGCCAGGCTGTGTGGGCTCAAACCCTGGCACCAAATCTTACTGGCCAACCTTCAGCAAGTTGTTTCAGCTCCCTACGGCTCCCTTTCCCCAGGTAAAATCCTAAAGACAACAATAGATTGTACATCATCGGGAAGATTACAATGATAAGAAATAACGAGTGCAAACGCCTAGACCAGTACCTGGAAAATAGCAACTACTGCTGAGTGCTGTGTGATTATTTTTGTATTATTATTATTATTATTATTGCATTGTGAGGTACTTTGCCATATGTAATCTAATTTACTGTTTTTAGCTCCCCAGAAAAGCATGGGAGACATATACTTCCATTAAGACAGTGGCATAGTGAAGCCCAAAGAGGGGAAGTATTGCTGAAGGCTCAGAATTCCAGCATGATTGTCCCTTTCTGTGGCACTCTATTGCATTCTGGAAGGATCCAGGAAACTGCAAAGCAAGGCAGCTACGTGGCCTTCCCTAACCCTGCTGCTCAGCTCCCTTCTGCGTCATTCATACCATAGGCCCAACTTCTGCCTTGGAAAGGTTGCTCGCATTTTTAAAATCATGAAGACTGAAAGAAGAAATGTAATATTTCTCTCCTGGAAACATGCTACCCATCTGTTCTTTGCCTGAGACTCCAGATTCTGACCACAGTGACTGCTCACCACAGGAAAGCATGTCCTTCTGTGTCCTCGGTAATCTGTACTAATCCTAATCTAAGGATCAGGTGGGAACAGGGTCAGAGCTATTTATATAATCCAACTCAGTTTTTTTCCCTTTGAGGGAAAGTCTCAAACAAAACTGCCCCCCTAGGGACTGGCCCAGAGGCATGAGATTTTTTTTGGCTTCTACTTTTAAAAGTAATAAAAAACTTTCTTCCATTCTGTGAAAAGCATGCACTTGATGCTTTCCCTTTCTGTAACAATTGGTTGAGGTTCAGAGGAAACTGCTAGAGAGAAAGAGAAGAGAGAGTAAGATGGAGAGATGAGAGGGTGGAGAGAGAAGATGGAGAAAAATGAGAGGGGGGAGAGAGGGGGAGGGAGAGAGAGAGAGAGAGAGAGAGAGAGAGAGAAAGAGAGCAAGCAGGATATAGGAACAAAAAGCTGTTTCACACAGCTGTCCGAGGAGACTGGACTGTGGGAAGTACTCTGGTCCTTACCCTAGCAACATCTTTCCAGAGTCACTGGAAAGAGTGGGCTTTGGACCACCCAAAGAATAGACAAGTATGCAGAATGTTTTTTTTCATTCTCTGAGTTTCCTTTTTTTTTTTTTTTTTTTTCGGTCTTTTTGAGACAGGGTCTCTCTGTAGCCCCAGGTGTCCTGGAACTCACTATGTAGACCAGGCTGGCCTTGAACTCACAGAGATCCACCTGCCTCTGCCTCCCCAGTGCTGGAATTAAAGGCGTGCGCCACCATGCCCAGCAAGTTTCCATTTTATCACTTGAAGGGGAGCTAGTGAACTCAGGTCATTCGGTCAAACTGACCTCCAGGTGCTTCAGTTGGGCAGTTAATTTTGCATTTGCACGGGAATGCTTTGCAGTGTGGCATAGCATGTTCCCTTCAGTTCTGCCACAGGCCCTCACTCCCTATTCTGCTTCGCTCACTTGTTTGCAAGTCCCCATTTTTTTTTGGTCAGAAACTTTCCACTATGGCTTCTATGTCTCACCTCAGGAAATTCCTTTCAAAGTAACTCTCCCAAAATGTCTTCTGTATTTGTCAGGAGACAATGATGCTTTAGGTTAACATGAAGATAGAACAAACACCTTTATATCAAAACATAGAACATAGTAACATAGAAAAATAAGAATCAAGGCACCAGAAAAGGAAAGTGCACCTCCTCTCTACCTCCAACCTTGGGAATAAATTAGACCAATGCATGATGCTACAGTCAGAATACTGAGGCGTTTTGTGCCTGCTGACACATCTTATGAAATGGAGAAGAGCTATGCTGGTTAAAAGCAGTGTTTGTTCGGTGTATATATGCAATTTCCAGTATAAGAGACTTTAGGGAACCCAAAAGCAGATAAAGCATCATTCCTAAACTCAAAGAATGTGGAGTCTGGAGGACACAGACGTGCACACAAACTATGTCAGGAGTGAGGCAACAATGAAGGAATGTTGGACACATCGCCATCCAGCTTCAGGATTCTAAACTAGACTATTCTTTCCTCCTCTTTGGCCTCCTCTCAGCTCTGGTCTCTCCTATAGCCAGTATTAGCTTCTATATATTTTATTGCTATCATTATTGTGTACATGTCTGTGATGATGTGGGGGGGCACAGTGCACATGTGGAGGTCAGAACACAACACTGTAGGATCAGTTCTCTCCTTCTACCTTGACATGGGACTGAATGCACATCATCAGACTTGTACAGGAAGCACTTTGTCTGCTAAGCCACCTTGGTGGCCCCCAGAGCTATCTTTTCGAAGCACAACTCTCTTCAGACCATCACTACCTAAAAAACCATCAATAATTGTATAGGCCAAAATTCTCTATCAGATCTTTAACTTCCTGAGATCACTCCTGTCTTTTAGGCACACTTCCCACAAACACAGAGCTCTTGCCCCATCATGTTCTCTGTACACACACACACACACACACACACACACACACACACACACACTTTTGTCTTCACACCCCTCTAACCATGAAAAACTACCAAATCCCTTGGTTTTGAAGATCATCACGAGTGCAGAGACTGTACTGGGAATCAGTGTGATTATTTGATTCTTCCCTCTCTTCCTAAGACTGCACGTTCTTTTTGTCCTGAAATGGTATCCAATCTAGCACCCTAGTATATCAGCCATACTCAGCTGCAGGCTGTTAATACAGAAAGGGCATAATAAATATAATTCAATGAGATCATAAGTAAATGGTAAGTAAATGGTCTTGCTGTAAAACCCCATTCTCATACACCCTTGAGACGCAGATGCAGAAGCTACTGAAGACCTTCCTGGAACAGTGAAGGGAGGAGTGACCTGCTAGAGGGAACTTGAGGCATCGTCCAGGAGGTCTGCATCCCATGTAGACTAACTAGGAGTTTCAGTGGCTTGTTGCCCTATCCAACATCCCCAAGCTGGAACGGAAATTCATTCTCTTTGAGAGTGGAGGCAGAGGGATTGCAAACAGCTCATTCCCACCAAGAAGATCCATCTCCATGGTCACCACAAAACCTCTCCAGACAAGCGGTTCTCTTGGACTATTTTTGTCGTAGAGGTTAAGTGATGGATTCTGAAGAGACTTCGCTTTCAGAACCCTTAATCCAAAAATAGAGGTTCAGTTGAAGGCTGTGGAGTGTGAATGGGCCTCCGTGCAGTAAGCCTTCAGTTTATTTGAGAGAGAAAAAAGGAGTGACAGCTTTCATCAGAACTTAGTTTTCTGCAGTGGGAAAGAGCACGAACTACAGGCTGGAAAACAGGTGACGTTTGCCTTCCTATTTGCAGTGTTTACACGAAAGACCAAGCCCCAGGTTTCCCAGGGTTGCAGCTGGTCAGTGCGTCACTCCTTGCGGATGTAGTTGGTGATGCACAAGCAACTTCAAGCTCGCTTTTCTACTCCTAGCAACAAGAAGCAAAGGGCATCACAAAGCATGATGGGTGTTTGTACATCCATCTACTTTTCCTTCCTATCAAATTCATTGTCATCTTTACATAATGAATCCCGAGTTCCCAGTCTTGAAATGTATCGTGTATACAGAAATTGATTTCCCTGGAAGAACTCAGGAAGTACTCTTTCTCATGAGTCAATTTCCCCATAATTTTTATAGGTATTAGTATTCAGTGT